TCCTGACCTAATTAAAAGCTCGAGACCTGCCCGGCCCTAATTAGGGTTGGTCCGGGTCAGGTTTCGGGTTAGAAATGACAGCTCTAGTTCAAAATCATAAACTGGGCTGATAACTGACAAAATAATATTTTTTGTTGTTGTTGTTGTTTTGGATTTTTTGTTTTTACATGACATAATTTTATAAAGCACAGACCCAGAGTAGCCAGTGGGTCAAAAAAAGCTAAAACAAGAACTTTTAAAAATCAATGCCTAAGGGAACTATGAGTAGATTTCCATCTATCCATTATCTTTACCCACTTCTTCCTTTTCAGGTTGCGGGGGTCACTGGTGCCCATGTCCAGCAGTCACTGTGTGAGAGGTGGGGGACATCCTGGACAGGTCTCCAGTCCATCACAGAGACAAACAAGACAAACAACCATTCACTCTCTCACTCACACCTAGAGACAATTTAGTTACCAATCTACATAACATGCATGTTTTTAGTCTGTGGGAGGAAACGGGAGTACATGGAGAAAATCCACACATGCACAGAGAGAACATGCAAACTCCACCCAGAAAGGTCCCAGGCCAAGATTTGAACCAGCGACCTTCTCACTGAGAGAAACAGAATGGGAGGCAGATCTTTCAGTTATCAGGCTCCTCTCTGTCCGTGAGGCTGACACATTATCCAGTTTTAAAACTAGACTTAAGACTTTCCTTTTTGCTAAATCCTATAGTTAGTGTCGGCTTGGGTTTCCTGAACTGTCCCTTAGTTATGCTGCTATAAACTTAGACTGCTGGAGGACAAACTGACCACAATTTTCACTCTGCTACTGTCTTTACTTATTCTGCTCAACCTGTTTTGTATTTGTAATTATTTTTTCTATCCTTAACATGTGTTTTTTTTTTTTGTCTTTCAGATACACCTGGACCTATACCTGGACCTACCATTCTGTGTTCGTCTGTCTCTCCTTCCTGTCCTCTCTAACCAGCCGGTCAAAGCAGATGGCCGCTTGTCCTGAGCCTGGTTCTGCTGGAGGTTTCTTCCTTTTAAAAGGGAGTTTTTCCTTTCCACTGTTCCCACTGTGCTTGCTCAGGATGGGAGACTGCAACGAAGCCAAGATTCAACTTGTCTGCTGGATTCCTTAGATAGAGAACTTTACTAAATGGCTTTTATGTATATGAATGTTCCTGTAAAGTGCCCTGAGACAACTTTGTTGTGATTTGGCGCTATATAAATAAACTGAATTGAATTGAATTGAATTGAGAGGCAACAGCTCTACCAACTGAACAAATGCTCCTGAAATACAAAGTTCAACAGTTCTGTTATGAACACGTCGTCCTTGTCTCAAATACTGGGGATGGCCTTTTGTTGTAAATAATTTTTTTTTTTTTTTTTACTATTTTAGTTTCAAATCTGTTTTTGCTTTTGGGGGTCTTGATGCATCTTTTAAATAAAAAAGTGTCTTTAAATGCTCTTTAAAAAGATGGACAGAACAAAAAACCCACAATGCTTCCAGCTGCAGCTAACACCAGCAAGGAGGCACGAGGAGCAGCAGCTGGATCCAATATTTCCTTCAGGCAGTGGAAGGACGTACTGTTTACACTCAGATTGTTTTCACAGGTCACGGGTGTGTTTACACAATGTCTGGTGCTTGTGCAAAGGCAATAAATTACAAATCCTGGCCCACGAGTTTTTACTGTACGTGCTCGTCACAAGGGCTGATTACCAAGAAGCGCTTTTTTAGAAGCTGCCGTGGCTGCAGGTGAACCTGTAATCCATACTCTGAGGTTAATCTCATTTTTGGATTATCCGGAGAGCAGCTGAGCACCCAGAAACGGGATGAGTACAAAAGAAAGACCAAAGTCTCTCATCACATTCTTTGTGAGAAAGTAAAACTTTGGCTGTAAATGAAGCAAGAAGAATGGCAAATAAACTTTAGATCCGGCAGGCCTGATTCACATTTAGCATTTTGTCGTAAAAGATAGGGAACGGGCAAGTGCATTAATGAAGGCTGCATTCCTCTTAGTTCTGCTCATTAGCATTTTGAATTACAACCAGCAGGCACAGATGCAGAAATGGTATGCAGCTCTCGTTATCACACCTGATGAACAAATTCCTAAATCTAAAGGTCTGCCGTGAAATAAGTGTACTAAATGATTCAGTTATACTTTTTAAAAAACTGTCTAATTTGTTTATTAATGCAATAGCTTAGAGTTTTGGAAGGTTCTGTGGAAATATTTGTAAAAATAAACATCTTACCTGTTGTACATAGCTCTACCACCTCATTTTGGACATAAAGTTTAATTCTAACCAGATCGACAATCTAACAGCTAGTTCAAGCAGGGCCAAGAATAGAGTGTGTTATTGTGGTCCTTAAAACAACTCCGGTCTTGAAACTTCGGTTAATTCAAACATGTAATTAATCTTTATACAACCTTCCATTTCACATAAAACATTTTCGATGGGATTTTGTTGTTCCGAGAAGACGTTAATCCACTTCATTCATGGCACTACCTGGACTAGTCGTTAGCTCATCATCCAGTCAGAATAAAACTTTTTCTCCAAATGGAGGCCTTTTAAAGAGCCATCTACAACAGGTAAGATATTGAGCGTTCATAACCTTTTCACAACACAGAACTTCAACAAATCTGAACTATTGCTTTAAGTGTTTTAGGTTAATTAATAAAAGTATTCATTAAACCTCAAACAAGTGACTGCTTATACAAAATAGCTCCAGTCTGAGTTACATCTTTAATTATTTTAATGTGCATGGAGTTTGTTTGTTAATTCTTTTAAAAACTGTACATAACTCATAATCCCTTAACAAGTTTCAGTAATTATCACAAAACTTTTTATTCTTATACGTATTAGTTTTATTTTATACAGCTGCAGAAAATGACAACACTGTTGACACGGTGACAGTAATCAGTATAAAAGATGTTCACACAGAAACACTTCTGAGTCAAGATTTCTACCCTATGGTGCAACTAATCATGACATCAGCGATGTTATGGACACGACTGTAAGTGGTGTAAGAGCACGTGTAAAAACGAAACTGAAGTCAGACTGCAAAAGGCTTGGTATTGTCACAAGGGTCTGCTCCATCAGTCTTATTTTTACTTAAAGATGCCGAAATGAAAAGTCCAAGAAACTACAATGAGGTGTGTGTGTGTGTGTGTGTGTGTGTGTCAGTGACCTCCCAACAGAACCGACTGGCTGACAACAAATGAGTCCAGAACATAATCTATCGCAGCTGCAAGAGGCCACTGAACAGACACGAGGGATCAAGTTTAAATAATCCAGAAAGGATTGTGTGTGAATACCCAAAGGAAACCCTGGAATTTGTCTGAAGGTCTCAGGTTTAAATGCAGGATAACTACCAGATAAGTGGTCACGGGACACATCTTTTTCTAAGAATTTGTGTTTTGTAAGCTCTTTCATTGATGCAGACAGATGGAGATTGTCGTTTCAGGGAGCATGTGTTGTTTATCAGCTCGCCTTTTCTGGATTTCCTGTTGGGCCAGTTGCAGGATGTGAGACATCTGTAAGAATACTCTCTAAGATCTGATCTGTGCGCTGCACGCCTCACAGCATTTTTCCACTGAAATAAGTTTTCATTGATTTCTGGATCTGATCACAGAACTGCTGTGGGTTCGTGGGATCAGGCTCTTTTCCCGGAGCATCGACTCTTGCTTCTCGTCCGCCTCGTGATGCATTCACTCCTCTTTCATGCAGATCTCAGAAAACGATAAAAAGAAAAGCAGCTGGAACAAAATAGTATTTTCATAAAGTTAAACGCTACTTTTATGTTAATAAATACTTCAATGCATATAGCAGCAATAAAAAAAAAACATTAGTCTAAAATTAAAGTGTAAACAAAATAAAAGCAAACACTTCTATATATTTGCCAACATTTTTTAAGCAGTTACATGTAAATAGCTCTTTGAACGTTTTAAAACAAACTCATCTCAAAAACTTGACTTTTCATGTGAATGCCATGCTATAAACCAGTGGTTCCCAACACTGGTCCCTGAGGAACACCATCCTGCATGTTTCAGTTGTTCCCTGCTCCAACATGCCTGATTCAGTGATTTAATTATTTCCTTAAGTTCTGCAGAAGCCCGTTAATCACCCATTGACTCAAATCAGGTGTACTGGAGCAGGGAAACAAGTAAAACACGCAGGATGGCGTTCCTCAAGGACCAAGGTTGGGAACCACTGCTATAAACCATTTATCATCAGTTTCGCTTTATCGTTATTTACATGGAAGTCTGTTCTTTTGCAAGAGAAAAAAGCTGCTGCAGCCACTTTGTTTTCAAATGAAGCTGCTTTAGGATGATAATTATCAAGATCGATCCGTCCACGGCAGGTAAACCGCTGACTGCTCGTCAAGTCTCCGCTTAATCTTACTTCCAAATGATCTTAAAGATCGATTTAAAGGTGATGGAAAGAGAGGAGGTGTAACATATTTGTGTATTGGGTTGAAAAGCCCCAACCTCCAGTTGCAAATCAGCACAGGAAGTATTTTAATGAAGGATAACAAGCACAAGCTTTTAATGTTTTTATGCAATACGTCTATTTTCAATGTGGCACAATAAATGAAGCATCGTCTCCAGAGACATCAGCTTTGCTTCTTCAACGTTTTGGATAATTACGTTGTAGTTCGCACACTTTATTTGTCAAGTATTAATTTGCTTTATTGATCTGAGCTAAAGGCTGCTAACTGTTATCTGTGCAGAGCTTCACACGTTTTCTAACTGCTTGGTGCTTGTTACTTTGCAGACACTACACATAAACATAGTGACAACAGGTAAAATGACAAAAACTCCATTCTAGCTCAGCTTGAGGATGAACGTGTTGCAACTCTTAGCAGATCTTGGTGAATTCCAGAATAAATAATGACATTCTGACACAGTCCAGACTGCAGCTAGCTGCTATACTTCATTGGAGCGAGTCAGTGAAAATTCAGTCTTTCAGTTCAACGCCTACAGGAGCTTTGTGTGTTTGATGTGTGTTTGATGTGTGTTTGATGTGGTGCGGCTCGGCTACACAGCAGGACAACACGCATCAGTGAGCGAATGATGAAACAGCCGTTTAGCCTCTCAAATAATTCGCCCAAACGGTTTTATTTTTCTGTAACGTTTGTCCACTGGTCCTGCTTTGAAATGAAATGTACATTTTAAGGAGCATTTAAACTGAAATAGCACCGGTGACTAAAAACAAACAGCTCCTTCAATCCCTGTGTGATAAACACTAAAAAGAGAAAACAGAAAAATCTAACAATGTCTAACCATCATCGCTTTAACTAAATATAAATTTATAGTTGATGTTCTTCCCTTTCATGAGAAGGCATTTACAACATGAAGCAATAATACATAAAACAATCTTGGTTTGGTATTTGTGTTTCTGACAGAACTTCAAGTAACTGAACGTGGGCCTACAGAATCGAGTCCAGCAGGTCAGCAGCAGACACAGACCACAATGTCAAGATAAGTTCAGTCAGTCGAGAAAAGGCACAATGGAAGGTGGATAAACACCGCTGCGCAGGCGGACCGGAGCAGCTGCAGCGTTACTGTCCGGGTTCTAAAAGTGCTGGAAGAAGGTCCAGCAACACAATCCAGGCTCTGAGGAGTGTGGAGAACAGGTCCTGAGAGGGGGCTGTTTTAAATCAGGGAAGGGTGTTCCTGTGAAACAGAAGGAACAGATTGTATTAGTAAGATGTTTCAACTTGGATAGCCTTAAAAACACACCTCATCCCACCATCTTAAAGGGATGATGCAGATGTTTTTCAGTGGGGTGATGTTGAAAAGTTGAGAACAATAAATGTTTTACTTGTTTTAGATTAGCTCTTTGAACAAACTCTACTTTATAAATCTTTACATCAATGCCAATGTTGCATTACACGATTATTACCATGGAAATATGTTTATTAGAAAGGGCAAATAGCAGCAGCAGCTAGCTTTAGCACTTCCTATGCAGCCAGAGGCAGTTCAAGAAGCAAAATTTAATGTTTTTTTGGCAGAATATTTGTGTAATTAAAGTTGATGGCAGTATAAATGTTCATAAAAAAGACTTTTACATAAACTTTTATGAAATGTTGAGACTGTTTTAAGTTGGCAGCTTTTCTTTTAATAACACTTTGGTCTTGGACCTTGCCTCTCATCACTTCAATCCAGTGCTCAAAGAGCTATCTACAACAGATAAAACATTAATTTTTGTAATCTTTCCACAGAACCTATTTCAGACGATCAGAACTGTTGCTGTAAAAACTAATATACATTTGTAGAAACATATTTGGTAACACTTTACAATAAGGTACACAAAATTTGATTAACTACTGGGAAACGCCTCAGGAACGAATCAGGAACAAATCAGGAGCTAATGGGTAGTTAACCAGTACTTACTGGGGAACACACAGCCAAACAATGCTGCAGGTAATTTATGTTTGTTTGTTTGTTTGTTTGTTTGTTTGTTTGTTTGTTTGTTTGTTTGTTTGTTTGTTTGATGAGTTAACGAGCTTCATGCAGTCAAAACATTTAGCCTCGTCACACCCAGGCGCTCACATAACTCCCAGTACACGTCTCTCTTGGGTGTGGGTCCTGGTGACTACAGCTATGTTTACGTGTGCAAATTTTTTAGACCGGATTGAAATGTTTTCAGATTAAATAATTCAAATGTATCTTTAACATGGACACAATCTGTTCATGATGAGTGTTTACATGCAGTGATCATTGTTCTGAACAAAAGTACTGACATGCGCAGAGTGGTAAACTCGCTTTAAAAATAAACCACAGAAGAAGAAGTTCTACTTCCGGTTTACTTCCAGGATGAACGTAAACAAACCTGAGCACCCAAAATGGACCTGCGACAGGTTTTAATGATGGTGGAGACGTTGCTGCACTCCCTGACTGAGCTACAGGTAATACACATCATTTTGAGCTCTTTCAAAGTTTCTAGTAGAAATGTTGTGTCGCTCACAGACCAGTTTTGCTTCCCTGACATGCTAATATTATTAGCATTAGCCAGGAGGAAATGACATAGGTTGCACATTGATTGATTGATTGATTGATTGATTTTTATTGTCAATTCTGCATATGTACAGGACATACATAGAAATTGAAATTGCGTTACACTCCTACTCAAATTGCAGCAAACAACAACATTAGCAAAAATAAACTAACACAACTAGTTATATAAAAAAATATAAAAAAATATAAAAGTGAACAGCAGCAGGACCTCTGATGCAACGTGCTCAATAGTGACTAACAGGAGACAAAGGGACGCTGACTGAAGACAATAACATGATGAGAGGTAGATAATGGATGTGCAAGGCCAGAGTAAACAATAGTGCAATATAAAGTATAAACCTGAGAAACTTAGTAAAGTGAAGGTGTGCATACCGGTTCTATATAGTCACAGTTATGTACTGATGAGGTGATTAAGTGGAAATGACAATACCAGAATTACCAGAATAAAGAATAAACAGGACGAGTTGATCATAACAGTAGTGCAAAATATAATGCAATAAACAGTAGAGTGAGCTTGTAGGCTGTTAAAGTGACCGATTCATGAACTATTCATAAAACTAAATAAATGTCCCAGAGCAGTTTTGAAGGGGGGGGGGAGGGGGGGGGTGTCAGGAAGCGGAGGTAGTGTGTGCAGGGTGGCAGAAGTGGGAGAGGGGGCTGAGGGGGGGCAGGCAGAGAGTTCAGCATCCTCACGGCCTGATGGACGGAGCTGTTCCACAGTCTGCTGGTCCTAGAACTGAGGCTACGCAGTCTCCGCCCTAATGGCAGCAGGTTGAAGAAGCAGTGTAGCGGGTGGTCAAGATCTCCCACCCAGCAGAGGGCTTTACTTCTGAGGCGAGAGCTGTGGAGGTCCTGAAGGCAGGGGAGAGAGGTGCCAATGATCTTCTCAGCTGTCCTCACGATCCGCTGGAGGGATTTGCGGCAGGATGCTGTGCAGGCCCCGTACCACACAGTGGAGCAGCTCATCAGGATGCTCTCGATGGCCCCCCCTGTAGAAGGTTGTCATGATGGGGGTGGGGGCTCTCGCTCTTCTCAGCTTGCGGAGGAAGTAGAGCCGTTGGTGAGCCTTTTTGGCCACTGCTGCTGTGTTGATGGTCCAGGAGAGGTCCTCAGAGATGTGCACACCCAAGAACTTGGTGCTGCTCACCCTTTCCACAACAACACTGTTGATGGATAGTGGAGCATGTTTTGTCTGAGTTCTCCTGAAGTCCACAACAATCTCCTTGGTCTTCTCTGTGTTCAGCAAGAGATTGTTGCGTTTGCACCAGGAGACCAGCCGGCTCACCTCGCTCCTGTAGAGTGACTCATCGTTATTGCTGATGAGGCCTACCACAGTCGTGTCGTCCGCAAACTTGATGAAGAGGTTGGAGGGGTGTGATGGAGAGCAGTCGTAGGTTAGTAGAGTGAACAGAAGGGGGCTCAGCACACATCCTTGTGGGGCCCCCGTGTTCAGAGTGATGATGCTGGATGTGTTGCTGCCAACCCGTACCGCCTGTGGTCTTCCGGTAAGGAAGTCAAGCAGCCAGTTGCACAGTGATGTGTTCAGACCCAGACTGTCCAGTTTCCAGATGAGTTGTTGTGGAATGATTGTGTTGAATGCAGAACTGAAGTCGATGAAGAGCATTCTGACATAGGTGTCTTTCTTGTCCAAATGTGTGAGGGCTGAATGATGCGCAGTCATGCGCAGTCAGGTCAGTTTTTCACCATCAGATAAAAACAAACAGATCAAGTGTTTACATGCGCACTGTTCGGGTTATGAATCGACGTAAACCACCCGTTTCATTCTGATCACAAATGATTTCGGATCGCGCTGAATAAACTAAAAATAACCCGAACAGGGTGTTTACATGACGCGTTTTTATTCCGAACGGCCAATTGATCTGATTACTATTAAACATGGTTTATTAAAACATGGTTTCGTCGATCCACTGAGGAGGTCCGTTCTCTCCTCCCCTCCCTGCAGGAGTTTCCCCGCAGGAGTTCCCCCCCCCACCCCTCGTTTTACACAAGGAAATATGTGCAGCCACTAGAAATAAGTGTGAATCATAAATCAAATCAAATCATAAATTTGCCTCGAGATGAAAATGACATTGAAAGAGAGACTGAGGACGTGTGTGATGACGTTTTTCTGAGGCTGTTCAATTCTGACACTGAAGAAGATTTTAGTGCACGGGAGGATTGAAGATAACGATCAGTGACTTTTCCTGGTCTGTATTTTTTATTTTATTTTTTTAACCAGCCGTGTTACAGGCACTGTTCAGACAAAAACCAGCGGCTTATACACAAGTGCAGCTTTTATTTGTACAAAAAATATTTTTAAATTTAGTGGGCGTAGCTTATATTCAGGTGCACTCAATAGTCTGGAAATTACGGTAATTGTGCAAATAAATGTTCAAATGAAGAAAAATACCTTGTTGTCCACATGACAGCTTCATGTCTGCACAGAAGAGCTTTCTCGTCGCGTCTCCATGACACTGCAGCACAGTTAAATACATTCACAAACAAAATTTATCTTTTAGGTAAATTTGTTGCAGTTATTACCGTATAAAGAAAAAAACTACAACTGAACTCAGCTTGATGGGCATGAGGTTTAGCTGTGGTGCACATTGTGGTGATCCTACCAGGCTTGTGGTCAACATCAACAGTTTCTGTCTAACTGTATGAGGTACGAGGCTGGCTGGAGTTCAGAAATAATAAATCTGTCCACTGGTTGGAAGCAGCCAAGTCTTTGCCTCCTGCAGCTCCTGACTACCAAACAAAACCTTATTTATTTCTTGTTTTGTCAGCCTCCTGTCCTGTATCACAAACCCACTTCCCCTTTTTATTCTCAAAGCCTCGTTTGCTCACCCCACTGCTTCACTTTATCAAAGTCTCAAAGTGAAAAGAAGCTAACTCACGCTTGATGCTGTCGCACAAAGTCTGCAAACTGCCGGTCCTTCGCATACAGCTCGATGATGCGGATCCTGTCTTGGATTTCCTGCAGAAAAACAAAATTTAATTTGATTGAGAAAATTATATGACACACATAGAAATAGCCGACCAAACCTAAAAGAATCAACAGAACAAAATTCCTTTAAGACCATGTTGATTTTAAAGCTGAGATGCTCTGATAAACTTTTTGTTAATGTTATGATGTCAGTGGAAAGTTACGAAAAGAAAGTAATTTAATTTCAGATAAGGAGTTACCATCCAGATACTTTGGGGCCAAAAACATTTACTTTAGAAAAATGTTTGCATAAAAACTCATCTAAGGAATCCACAAATCACCATACTTTAAAAGAAAATAATCTTAAAATCAAATTATTGCAGACTAACTTCATTAGTAAGTAAGTAAGTAAAACTTTATTTATATAGCACTTCTCAAGATAAAAATAACAAAGTGCATCGACAAACAAAATAGCAAAAGTACAAAAATTTAAAAGGATGACTTTTAGCTGGCTTTTAAAAGAAGCCACTGAGTCCACTGATCTGAGTTACAGAGTCTTGGAGCCACAGAAGAAAAGGCTCTGTCTCCTTTAGTTTTCAGTTTTGTCTGGGGGACAATCAGCAGATCTTCATCACAGGACCTCAAAGAGGGGTGTAAAAGTTCTGGTGTCTGTCCTGCAGAGCTCGCCAAGTCAAAACCTAAACCTTGAAATCCACTTGAAAATGAACTGGGAGCCAATGGAGTTGCTTTAGAAGTGGAGCTATAAAATTTAGAAGATCCAGTCAGGAGTCTAGCAGCAGCATTCTGTACAGACTGCAACCGGTCTAGGGAGGTTTTGGTTAAACATATGTACAGCGCATTACAAAAATCCAGGCGAGACGAAACAAAAGCATGAATTAAGATTTCCAATTCTGGATGAGAGACAGTATGGCTAAGCTTGGCAATATTTTGCGGTTGGTAGAAACAGGAACAAACCAGAGACTTGACATGAGTTTCCAGAGTAAAACCTGAGTCAAAGGTTAACCCAAAGTTTCTAACCAAAGATTTAGCAAAATGACCAAGAGGCCCAAGGATCTGCTTTATCATTACAGTTCTGGTGCAAATATGATTGCTTCAGTTTTCTCGCTATTTAGTTGGAGAAAACTTTCATTCATCTATCTGAGCATGGACTTTGTTATTTCATTCATCTAGTTTTTAATTGAATCCAGACAGTTAAGTAAAATTTGTAGTTTCAAAACTTCATTTGGAAGAAAATAAATATACAACTGGATGTCATCAGGATAACAATGATAGGAGATATCCTTAAAAGATGAAAGAATCAAACCAAGAGGGGGCAGATAGAGCAGAAACAACAATGGCCCCAAAACAGAGCCCTGTGGAACGCCAAAATGAACAGGACAAGAATGGGATCTGTACATAGATGTAGCCAAGAAGGTTGATCTATCCGACAGGTAAGAGGACAACCATTTCAAAGCAGAACCTGAAACACCAGCCCAACTCCTCAGCCTATCTAACAAGGTTGGGTGATCAACAGTGTCAAAAACTGACATCAGGTCCAACATGAGCAGCACAGAACATTTACCTGCGTCACGTTGCGTCAAAATAACGTGAGACTCTAAGAAGAGCTGTTTCAGTTGAGTGGGATTTACAAAACCCTGACTGAAAGTGGTCCAGAATACTGTGGTGATCAAGAGCAGCGGCTAACTGCTTGACCACAATATTCACTAGAATCTTTGCCAGTAAAGGAAGTTTAGAGATGGGTCTGTAACTGCTAAACAAAGAAGAACCAAATTAACCTTTTTTAAGAGTGGGTGGATGACAGCACTCTTTAGACCTGACCAGCAGCTAAAGCAGCATTTACTATGTTCAGTACACTGGGACCAATGCACTGAAAAACACTCTTAAACAAGCCTAATGGTAAAATGTCCAGAGAGCAGGAGGAAGCCTTCATGGTGCTAACAAGCTTAACTGGCTCAGGAACGGACACTGGCTGGAAGGAGTCTAAAATAACAGGCCGAGCTAGAGAGGGAACGGTCAGCCCAGGTGTAGGTGGAGAAATATTATTTCTCACTTTACTGACCGTCTGTGAAATAAGAAAGAAAAAGTTGTCAATCCTCATTTGAAGAGATAGGAACAGAAGGTGCAGCTGGAGTGGTAATGTCCCTGATTGTATTAAAAAACAGTTTAGAGTTACCGTTGCTCCTAGCAATCAAATTAGAAAAATAAGTTGCCCTTGCTTCTTTAACTGCATTGTTAAAAGAGGTTGAAAGCTCCTTTAAGAACAGAAGATGCACCTGTAAATTAGTTTTCTTCCACAAAAGTTCAATTTTTCTGCAAGAACGCTTTAAGCAGCGGATACTATCGTTTGCCCACGGCGTGGGATTAGACACAGGCAGTGACCTCTGTTTGATGGGGCAGGCGTCTAAAACAGACAATGTTCATTAAAATGATCAGAGAAACTAAATTAGTAAAAGGAGATAAAAAAAGGATTAAAATCAGCAGAACAAAGGTCTGCTGTCACTTCATATGTTTCAATGAACTGGAATAAACAAACATTTAATTATAGGAAAACTACAAATAGCCATGATATATCTAAACAGCACAAGTATAATAAACATTTTCAATAATTTCTGCAAGAACCTTTTTTTATGATCAGAAACAGGGCACACTAAGCAACAGCTGATAGTCTGAAGACGTCACATCTTGAACATCCAAAACACAAAAACAGTCGGTTCACCGTCAGTGCGACATGCAGATTTACTGTGGTTGGTAATAAATGTGTTTATGAAACAAAACAAGCTGTGGTTTTGATTTACATCTTGTAAAAAAAACATAAAAAAGTAGCAGATATTACCAGACTCAATAAGGTCTGGCTCAGCCCTTCCAAAACCTTCCATTTGCTCATTTTAGGCCTTGGCTTGGATTTGTTAGCATGCTGAGTATCTCTGTCTTGTTGAAAGGTCTTCTTCAAGTTCAACTCTGATTCTCTGACAAATGCTCTTGTGTATCTTCAGGCGCAGCCTGATAAGATGCAGAACTCACATCTGGATCAGTTACTGACCGTCGGCCCACTCTTTGAGGCAGCTAAGCAACACAAACACAACATTTCCACCAGCGTGCCTCACAGATCAGTCTCTTAAAAATATGTATCTGATCTATATCAAACATATCTGCTGTTACTGTGGTAAAAAAAAAATAAAAAAAAAACTCTGTTTCATGAAACAAGTTTTTCAATTTGCACACAGTCCTAGAGGTCAAATTGTACTAAAAAATAGAGGAAATAGGGGTAAAAGGCAAAGTAAGCAGTCAGTCTACTCTGTCAAACACAAAATATTACCTCTTTGGTCAGCTCGCTGTTCTCGTAGATGTGCTGTATCTCCTCGCTGCTGAAGTCCGTGGAGGCCTCGGCGCTGGCGCTGCTGTACACCGGAGGTTCGGGGTAACGGCGGTAGTAGTGGCTGTAGCCTGTTGTGGCTTCACTTTCATACATAGGGTTGTATTTGGTCGCTCTGTCTATAGACGGGAGACTTTCTAGTCGCCTGCAAGACAACACACAACTGTGTTGTTAAATAACTGTTAAGTGTATAAAGATATTGTTTCTAATTAATGATTCAATTTTGGCTCAGTATTACAAGAAAAAACACAGCTCGTGTGACTAACCAGCTGCCGTCCAACTGTTTTTTTGTGAGGCCAGTTTTTGAAAACCACACCTTTTTTATTAGGCACAGCTTTCACCCACACTGAACCATCTCTGCAAAGGTTTGTTCACAAGGACCATTACAGAAACCAGTGGATGTAAAGTTCAAGTCCTATAAACACAGTTTATCATCGCAGCTAGAAATAAAGTTTGAAGTTTACTGTACAAGAATAGATATATCCACAGTCAAAACTTCAGCAACACAATATCAAAACACACTGTCCACATATTAAAGGGTGTAAATAAAATAAATGAAATACTGTAAATAAAAATAATTCTGGACCTGCTGTCCAGGTCTACTGAATTCCTACATAAAGAAAGCATGGAGGGAAAAAATACTGTTAAAATTATAACAATAAGTATCTTCTGATATAAAAACATTTGTTTTATTTTAACAACTGACCTTATTAGTTAAAAACTAAGAAAATGTTTAAGAGACTGTCATTAAAATGAGCTGATAATAAAAACCAACCGACTCATTCTTATACTATTTTTAGTTGAAGGATTGCATGATTTGCTTGAAGTTTTGTGTTTGTTTTAATTTTAAACATTTCCAAAACTTGGGGGGAAATTACACTGTGTGTGTTTTATACCTTTCATTAATAACTTATTTTACTTGAAAATTATTATGATTGAACCAATTGTTTGAAAAAAGGGGCAGATATAATAAGATTTTTACTTTTTCTGCTGCCTTTCATTTTAAATCTCTTGTATCTTTTTTATATTGTTATGGAATTGTTTTGTACTTTTTTTTAATGAATAAACTTTATACCATACCAATAACTTGAGCCGTTTTTAGATTTACAACCAAAAAAAAGGACAGAAGTCAGAATTCAAGGTTTTAAGCAATGAAAATTCATTTTATAACATCGCAATCCATCCTATAGTTGAGGATTAAAAAGAATCAAAAATACATTTACTATTACTTTTTTTTATTTAAGTATAACTACTATGAGAATTAAATAAACAGCATCAGCATCATATCTGTCGGCATGTTTGCTGGATCCTCTCCCTGCTCTGAGTAACTTTCAAAAGTGCCACAACACAGATGAGTTACAGATTTATTTGTCTATATATATATATATATATATATATATATATATATATACATTTATATAAGTAATGTAGGTCAGAACATTCCTGACACATCGTTGCACCTTTATGCCGATGACACAGTTGTTTATTGTCGAGCTAGAACAGCTGCAAAGGTTTTCCAGCTTCTACAGTCTGCGTTCGACATCATCCAGTCAAATTTGTTCCATCTCAAACTTGTGCTAAATGCAGATAAAACCAAAGGGATATTGTTTTTAAACAGGAAGTTGGTCCCAGCAGTTCTTCCTCCTATCTCATCCATGCATAGTGTTCTTATTGAGTTTGTAGATTCTTACAGATACTTGTGAATTTTAGTTGATGCACGTCTCTCTTTTAAACCACATATCAAAAACGTGATAAACTGAAATTAAACTGGGTTTCTTTTTCAAAAATAGATATTGTTTAACTCTGAACATTAGGAAACACCTTTTAGCTGCAACTTTCCTACCAGCCATTGACTATTCATTCAACCTTTATTTATACAGGTTAATCCCACTGAGCCTCGGGGACTCATTTACAAGAGACCTGAATGTTAACAAACAGTGATGACAACAGTGGACAACAATAACAACAATAGACAATTATAAAGGATGCGTACAAATTTAAATTGTTTATTTATTAATTTTTTTAACAAGTGAATATAAAATGATAATTGAAAGGATGATTAACAGGAAAAGTAACCAAAAAGCAGCTAGAATACTAAAAACAGGTGAGTACGGTGACATTATTTACATGAATGTTCCTGCCAGCTCCTTGCAGATGTTGGATGCTGTCTATCATGGTGCGTTAACATTCATAACTGGTTGTAATTACCGTACACATAACTGCACCCTGTATTCACTGGTTAACTGGTCGTCATTAACTACACGTAGGCTCTCACACTGGTACATTTTCATCTATAAATCACTCCTTGCTCTGCTATCTTCTTATATCTCCTCCCACATGTCAAATTGTCAGTGCAGCTACAGCGTGCACTCCCAAGACATCATTACCTGCAGTGTCCCCTCAGTGCGGGCTGAATTCGGCAAAAGGACCTTCTCTTCCTCTGCTCTTGTAACCTGGAATATCTTGTAAAAAGATCTGAAGCTGTCGACTTATTTTTCTTTAAGGGGTTTTAAACTGTTGATAAGGTCAACAGAAAAATTAAAGCAAATATGTTCTCAGTACCCCTCCCTGGGCTGCCACCTTACCGTGGTGGAGGGGTTTGAGTGTCCCAATGATCCTAGGAGCTATGCTGTCAGGGGCTTTATGCCCCTAGTAGGGTCACCCATGGCAGACAGGTCCTAGGTGAGGGACCAGACAAAGTGCAGCCCAAACACACCCCTATGATGAAAAACACAAATGGAACTAGTGTTCCCTTGCCCGGACGTGGGTCACCGGGGCCCCACTCTGGAGCCAGGCCTGGAGGTGGGGCACGTGGGCGAGCGCCTGGTGGCCGGGCTTTTACCCATGGAGCTCGGCCGGGCACAGCCCGAAGAGGAGACGTGGGTCCCCCTTCCCATGGGCTCACCACCTGTGGGAGGGGCCAAAGGGGTCGGGTGCAATGTGGGATGGGTGGTGGCCGAGGGCGGGGACCCTGGCGGTCTGATCCTCGGCTACAGAAGCTGGCTATTGGGACGTGGAATGTCACCTCACTGGTGGGGAAGGAGCCTGAGCTGGTGTGTGAGGCTGAGAGGTTCCGGCTAGAAATAGTCGGACTCACCTCTACGCATGGCTCGGGCTCTGGAACCAGTTTCCTTGAGAGGGACTGGACACTCTTCCACTCTGGAGTTGCCCCTGGTGAGAGGCGCCGAGCAGGCGTGGGCGTACTAATTGCCCCCCAACTTGGTGCCTGTGTATTGGGGTTTACCCCGGTGAATGAGAGGGTGGCCTCTCTCCACCTACGTGTTGGGGGACGGGTTCTGACTGTTGTTTGTGCTTATGCACCAAACGGCAGTTCAGATTATCCACCCTTTCTGGAGTCCTTAGAGGGGGTACTGGAAAGTGCACCTTCTGGGGACTCCCTTGTTCTGCTGGGGGACTTCAATGCTCATGTGGGCAATGACAGTGAGACCTGGAGGGGTGTGGTTGGGAGGAACGGCCCCCCTGATCTGAACCAGAGTGGTGTTCTGTTGTTGGACTTCTGTGCTCGTCATGGATTGTCAATAACGAACACCTTGTTCAAGCATAAGAGTGTCCATATGTGCTCTTGGCACCAGGACACCCTAGGCCGCAGTTCG